TCCTGCTTCGTTTCTGGGGCTTTTCCGGGATTCTTTCATGAATGAACGATTTCGTAATTTCCAATCCGCATTCTCTTGATTTTGATCGCATTTACTAAATAAGACATACGCGAAACGCAAATAAAGAAATACATCATAGTTGCAAAAAAAAAAACATTATCTTTTTTTATATATTTATAGCAAGTAATAATAATTAATCTTATTTTTATGTGATATTATACAAAATTTATATTCAGTATAAAATTAACCGGCACGAACAAAAACATTTAAAATTACTAAAGTTTTCAAAAATATTTTTGTTTTTCCAAATTATATTAAAAAAAGAATTTAATTATTTTTCGATAAAATTATGTTATATGAATTATACAAAAAATAATTAATATTTCATTGATTGATTATAAGGCTATTTTTACAAAATTTTATAAAATCATTGCTTAAGAAATTTTCATCTTTAATTACTATTATCGTATAAATCAAAAAGCATTCAAGCAATGTGTTCAGCGGGAGAAGCAGTTCTTTGCGCCAAAGTTTTCCACCATCATTCTCTCTTCGCCATAAGATTTCTATGCTTTTCGCGTTCGCGCGTGCAAAATCCTGTTTACTTTATGTAATCCGGTAATAGTCGATTATATACGGCGTATGCATTTATTTGCGCGTAATCCTTTCGCGCATAATTAAGCACCGATAACATCGAGACGAGGAACTTTCGTGCACAAACGTCCGCGCGCGCATGTATTCAAACGCGTATCCCGGGTGATATATCGACTCCTTCTTTCGCGAGTAGATTCATTGACTCATTAACGCACCGAGAAAAATCACCAGCTGTATATCACAGCCCGGACAGTAATCAAGTGCTCATTCTTAACGCGGTGTGTAATAAATATGTGAATTAATACACCGTCGATTAATTATATCGCACAAACCACGTTTCTAATGTATACTCTCGTTGCCGGGAAAAATTATAACGATGAACGCATCTGCGAACACTACTAAAAATGATTAACCCTGCTTGTACATTGTGCAAAATACTTAGAGAGTAAGACGAGATTCCTTATAACGGTTGAGATCTTCGCGTAGAATTGAAAATTGGCACCTTCAAACGTAAACGATCTCTGTATATTATCTTTGCGAGCGAATTTTCTATATATATTTAAAGTTCCAAAAATACAGTTTTTTAAATCATAAATATACGTATATCTCATACATTTATGATTTAGAAAAATTGTATTGTATGTATTGGAATACGAAGAAAAGCATATATTGTCGTTTTAATGATGACGCTATATAAATGATGATGTCACTAATCTTATTTAATTTTATATCTCGTTTTCGAACGAATAATTCTTCTTTCTGCGGCAATTATTGCAAGCAATCGAGATGTTTTCGTAATCTTTTTTTTTTCATTTTTCTTGAATCGCATATGCTTCGTGCTCATAAAATGAATCATATGCCCTTTTTATCATTGGTTATTGCTGCCATTAATACTCTAGTGCAAGAATTTTTAACGTAAACTAATTCGAGAAAAAATTTTTAAGAGAATTATTTGTTATAATACATTTAATTGTATATATAAATTGAATTGGAATATTCTTAAATTTAGAGTATTTTAAAAATCATATTAAATTTTGGATGTGTTATATAAATACATTTATCTCGTTCTTTCTTCAGCGCAAGCGTACAAATATTTTTGTTCATTTTTGCCATCAAGTGTAACGTACATAAAAGAGAAAGAACTCCGTCGTCGATTACCAAAACGATTACGAAGATGACGATCAAGCGGCGAGCGCGAAGTCGGCAAGGGTTGAGACGACGATAGCGAGGGGTAAAGACGACAAAAGAAGCGCGCTGCCGGCTCTCGGGTCGGATAGTGAAAAAAGCCTCATAAAGGGATAAACGTCACACGGGACTTGTGTTTAATGGCGCGTAAACTGCTACGTGCCCCTGTACGCAGGTATACGGGCCGCATAAACGAGTACGTGCACGCACACGGGTTGCCGCGATGACACGCAGCAGAATCCGAAAGAGTTCTGACTTTTCTGATCCTTTTGATCTCGTCGTTGTCATCATCGTCTTCATCGTCTTCGTCGTCGTCTTCGTCGTCGTTGTTACGGTCGAGAAATCTCGTAAGCTGATATTTAGAGTTGAAATACTGCGAGTCGATCGACTTCATTAACGCGCCGATGCCGGGCAAATATTGACTATATCCATAGAAACTAGGGTACGAGGCATCGTGTATTTACACTGTATATATGTGAGACCTCTCCCTCGTGACCCTACTTTTCTCCTTCTGACTCTTCTCTCATTTCATCCGTTTCGCAAACTATACGGCGCTATGAACTATAATTTCGAAGTCAATGACATTGATGACTAAATTGGGAGAAGCCGTGCGTAATTTTTTTTCCGCGACGACTGTTGCATATATGCATCGATTAAAAGATACGTACTCCGATATCGTGAATCCTCCGATAACGTGCGAATTTGTATGCGAGACTATTTCCCAGCAGATATTTCGAAGTCGGCGCGACTATACAAATGAACCTTGGCCGACATTGATGTGTAGATACTCTCCATAACACGTTGCATTGCGATCTTTTTGTAAAATCAATAGAATCGTAAATGGTACAGTTTACCAGTTACAGTCGACATGATTCGCCGCAAAGACTTGACTCTTGTGCTCTCTCCGTGATTTATTGCAAATGTACGCCGCTCCTCGGAGGTGTTCTGTTTCCCTCGGTTATTAGGACGATGGAATTTTTTGCACCGCGCTCGCAATTGCTCCTCCACCTCCGACGCTCACATCTCGACCTTAACTCTCGTGTCTCAACCTTTCGCGCTTATTGTTTTCTTCATTTTTCGATTTATCTAGAGCCGTACCTGCGTCTGTCCATTCAAGAGCACGCGCAATCCGGTTGCTCCGTTATACGTATATACTCTGCTGCTTTATTTGGTTTTGTATTAAGTCTCCTTGCCCCCGAACTCTCTTAGACTCACTTAGAACGACCGAGTCTCGGATTCAGGTGTGTTAGAAATATTAGAAAATAGTCTCTCTCTCTCGACCGAGATCCGTATTGACGTTGAATATTTCGAGAATTCTTAACATGTATTACAGGAATGTATATGAAAATATATATAACGCTAGAAATTATCTAGATCTAAACATATATGTATACAATAAGTTTTAAATTAAATCAAAGAAAAAATGTGAGCATTTTATATAACTTTTATAATTTTTCTCTAAATATCGCGGAGGATAAACATACTATAAACATTGAATCAAGATTCCGGAATTTTTTTTTTCAGAACCGCATTTGACATCAAAACTGGTGCAGATGCATAAAAATCATCAATTAGCTGATCGTTCTAATGATTGTCGCGAACGAGAACTGCGAAATGCCGCCGATTAGAAGAATTCAGGTAGGAGTGGGGAAGCAGGAAAAGGTTTCACTTCATTAACGAAGCGCATAACGAGTGGAAGAGGAGAGTTAGCGGGTGTTAAGCAACCACGTCGCGAAAAAACTTGAAAATCTTAACGAACCCGACTCTTTTTCATCTATTTGTCTCTAGTTTGTTCTCATTTCGTTTTATCGTCTCTTTGTTGGCAATCCATTTTCTTCAAAAGCGCAATTACAAAGAATCGACGCAGTGTACGCGTGCGGAAGATCGTGTTGTATCGGAGCATTAATTACAGTCACTCTGGATTCTCTTAAAATACTCCTCTCCCTATTATATATAAAAAAAAAAAAATCCTTTTAAGCTACTTTATCTCCCAAGGCGATACCCAAACCGACTATCTCTCACTCTCTCTTTCTCTCTTTACCGATCATGGTTATATTTTTAAATCAACAAATCCGCAGGAGGTTTCCTGCGCCAAGTCGCAGAAAGCAAATGCAGTTAATTTTTTGTGCACATTCTTATATAATGTATCACCCGACGTGCATCTTGTCACAATATAGCGTCATTTGCAAGAGACACGAACTGATTGTTAGAAACGTTTGCATTTCACGAATACTACTTTAGATAACTCTTTTTTTCTCTGTCTTTCTATTTCTCTCAATGTGAGTATTTTGTTGTAAATCTGGATTTTTATATTCATTTTTATTTAAAAAAAAAAAAAACATCGCGATTTGGACCAGCTTAGTCGTTTTATTATAACTACATCAAAACCAATTTTTCCATCGTTACGAGCGGAATACAATCTTAAAATTATAATTCATAAATTTCGAAAGCTAGTTCTCTTCATCGTATCAATTTCAGATCGAAAACTTTTATACCGCATCGTCGATGATCGAAAAACTCGCACGACAAGAAACACCGATCATTGTAACTTTCTTATCGTCAATATATGGTCTAATTTTATTCCAGTTTATTCGAGAAATAGGTTTCTCGCTCCGACATTAAGTCGAGGCAGATGGCACCGTTTGCCGAGATAGCGCTGATTTATAACACGCCGGTGGGTTAAAACGAGTTTCGATTCGAGCATTGTGGGACAGGGTGGGGAAACATAGATTCGGGAAAGAAGAGAACCTAATGATTCTTCGGATATCCATTTCGTGCCCATGGGCAAAGATCTAATCGTCCTCTGCTCAAAAACTCCGTATCCACCAAAGAATATACACGAAAACACTTTCATCATCACAATATTATGAACATTATATAGACTTTGTTATTTGAAGCTATACAAGACTTCATAAAAAAGAGAAAGAAAGAAAGAGAGCAATCGAGAGTGAGAAACATTCTCGGAAGATTTTTATTATGCTATCATTGTCAGAGTACTCGCATATAATCGAAGTTCCGCCGTATTTCCAATTAGTTTTTTCGTACTCTAAATTCTGTTTAAACATATCTGTAAGATATTGTGGGAGGAATAAAAATCAAAACGAACGTAGAGGGAACCGGTTTCACGCCCCACCATTCAACACCAATCGCGCTTTATTCTTCCAAGGATGAGTCGAAGCAACTGACTCTGACACATATCTTTCCTTTGAATAATTTTTATAATTTCTATAATTGCAGATGAACCAAAAGTGCAGCGTATGCAAGGAGCCTGCAGCTGGTTATCATTTTGGAGCATTCACATGCGAAGGCTGCAAGGTAAGAGACAATGGCAGAATTATCGATAATGAGATTACATGATAAAATCCGGGTTGAATTTCACGGACTTTGTGACATGACGCTGACAATTCGATGTCTCATCACACACTCTGTGTTACGGCGTTATATAACATTTGTGATGCAAATTTTACGATCTTATGAAGAGCAACACAAATGTAATTATTAAGTCAGTTTCACCGTTTTCGAATAACTCATTTTTAAATAAGTTTGTCTTTATTTTATGGAATTATAACAACTTCGCAATATACGATTGGAAGAAAACCAGTACAGGAATGAATGAGAATATAAATGATAAAGAATGCAAGGTCTGTTTTTCTTTTTTTTTTAAAGAGAGGCCTCTGAATATGAAAAATACCGAACGAGTTTTTCGATTCTCAAGTAATTGTTCTAAAACATTAAGCATTGATTACTCTTTCATCTACTTATTTATAACAATAATAACTTTGTTGAATGCACGAATATGAATAAATAAAAGTTTAGTTATTTATAAAAAGACACATACACGCAAAAAATGATATCAATAATGCTATGATGCAGAAACAAATCGCGTACACATAATGTGCTGCGTTTTATACGAAATTTATTAATGTTTTAGAACACATCAGAATTCACTTTTTATAAACATATAATAAAAACTAAATATTTCATACACTATAAATTAATAAGAATAAAAAATTATCATATCCTCTTTTCAATGCCATAGGTATTTTGTTAATTTACATTATTAACGGAAAAATCTCATATATTGTACTATGTAAAATTAAAAAAGAAAGTGATTGTCTTTTCTAGTAAAAACACATATGTACAATTTTGCAATGAAAAGAAAGGAGTAACAAAATAAGGCAATGATTTATCAGCAAGTTAGCATCGAAAAAAAAAAAAAAAAAAAATCATCTTTGGCAAAAAACGGACGGAAGTAGTTTCTACCCGATATTAACCTGCTGCGAAGATTTCGCAAAATCGTAAATGTCGATACGCCGGCGATGAGTCGACGCATGCGATGCGTGCACGCGTTTCGCACTCTAGTTTAAAGAAGAAGCAATTTAATAAGCCGTGACCAATGCGAAAACGAAAAGGCTCCGATGGTAGAGATCCTCCGTCGTAGTAATCACGGTCAACGAAACAGGTGAGAAAGTCTGATATGTGGAAAAGGTGAGCGCACGCGAGAGGCAAACGAGAAGAAAAGAAAAATCTCCTGCCCGGCTCGAATCCGTAAGTGGACGAGAGACTCGAGCGCGACCAATCGATTATTTCGGATCGTCCTCGTTCGGCGATGCCCGGATTGCGGCGAATCGCGACGAATATTCTGGAAATAATGACATATCGATAGAATGATAACATTATCTGAAAATCTAACCAGCCGTTGCACGTTGTTACTTCAACTACAACCGCAAAGTAAAAAATTCTATTTTTTTTTTTATTTGATTCCATTAATTTTTGAAGCAAGGACATTTAACATTTTACAATCGTTGTAATAAATTCTTCAAAAGAGAAATGAACAAATCTGTTTCTCGGAACAAATGTGGGATACGTGCGAGCGCGGGAAATATCGTGGAAAAGCGAGGATATTGTGTCGATCGCGGTTTGCTCCCGCGATTAGTCACGTGGAGCGTTACAGTCGCGAATAACATTCAACAGGTGGATTCAACAGGTGGCATTCAACAGGTGGATTCCGGCGCACATGCGCAACCAGCTGTTGAATCTATGCGTACGCCTCTAGTATGCAAGCGCGCATATATATGTGTATCGACGAACGACGACGGCGGTGATCGAGTCTCGTTAAATCACGTTTAGAATCTCCGAGAAATGTTGACCCTTGCTCTCGTCCTCTCATCCCATTAATACGCGTTACACTGTGGAATATCGATACCGCATAAGTGACCCATCCGATAATAATTGAAGCTCATTAAGACAATGACGGGTAATGGGTCTGTTGTTTTTATCGCGTTCGGTTTAACTTTAAGAAAGAGACTACATCGTCGTGTCTGGATCTTAAGATAACAAGAAGCTAATTTTAATTGAATTTGTAAAAAATCCATCGTGCCGTTCTTATAAGATTATTAAATAACGGTATCGGAATTAAATGAATTATATTATACTGCGTAAACAGGGTATTTATACAAATCCTGTAAAAAGTTTCTCTGAAAATTCCCTAATCTTTCAGGTATTTTTGTTCAAAATTCCAGGTAAAGAGAATATTTTAAACATTCTTTGATGCAATTTCCTAAAATAAATTTTTTTTATTGTACGCGTTTTCTAATTTCGTTTTTCATTCGAAGGAAAATCACAAAGCCACTTAAGTTTCAAGTGCTAGATTTATAAATGTACTGAAAATAAAACTGAACAGCTTTTGTTAAGATAAAATTTTTTAGCTTGCATAACATTTTTATTTTTTATCACTGAAAATTAAAATAAAAAATATATATTGCATATTTAATAATTTGTTAAAATATTGAATATATAAACAGAAATAAATATATATTTATAATATATTTTAAACACAAAATTCACAACATGGCTTATTGGCGAATTGTCTACTGCTTACAGTATAAGAGCAAAATGATCAAAAAGATAATTTTTTTTAAATTCCTTGAGCCCCAAAAAAATTCCATGAGAATTCCTTGATTTTTCCAAGTATAAAAAATTCCCTGAGAATTCCAGAGAGTAGACACACACCCTGGTGAAAAAGATGGACTTTTGAATGCGACTGGTCATCGATGTAATTATTATCACTCGCGCGTAAGTGAAATTAATCGATGTTTCACGCCTCGCGCCTTTAATTAATGAACACGAATGACTGATTTAATAGTACGAAATACGATACCGCCCGGAAAATTAATATCACCAGCGTGTATCGTATACGTCACGTCGCGTAGTTGTACAACTATATACCAGCGGGAAGGATCGCCGCTCTCACGAGGTTTCGATGTTATCGCGAGATATATAATAGTGTCATCGAAACCCTGATATCAAAAGGGCAAGTGAGGGGGAGGGGGCACAAAAGTATAGCGGCGAGAATTAGAGGCACTCGCTCAGGCGACCAATTTTTCACGCACACACATGCAACACAACGACACGGGGCGAGCACCGCGGGTGCATACTTTTTTTACTTTTATTGCGTTTTCTAATTTCGTTTTTCATTCGAAGGAAAATCACAAAGCCACTTAAGTTTCAAGTGCTAGATTTATAAATGTACTGAAAATAAAACTGAACAGCTTTTGTTAAGATAAAATTTTTTAGCTTGCATAACATTTTTATTTTTTATCACTGAAAATTAAAATAAAAAATATATATTGCATATTTAATAATTTGTTAAAATATTGAATATATAAACAGAAATAAATATATATTTATAATATATTTTAAACACAAAATTCACAACATGGCTTATTGGCGAATTGTCTACTGCTTACAGTATAAGAGCAAAATGATCAAAAAGATAATTTTTTTTAAATTCCTTGAGCCCCAAAAAAATTCCATGAGAATTCCTTGATTTTTCCAAGTATAAAAAATTCCCTGAGAATTCCAGAGAGTAGACACACACCCTGGTGAAAAAGATGGACTTTTGAATGCGACTGGTCATCGATGTAATTATTATCACTCGCGCGTAAGTGAAATTAATCGATGTTTCACGCCTCGCGCCTTTAATTAATGAACACGAATGACTGATTTAATAGTACGAAATACGATACCGCCCGGAAAATTAATATCACCAGCGTGTATCGTATACGTCACGTCGCGTAGTTGTACAACTATATACCAGCGGGAAGGATCGCCGCTCTCACGAGGTTTCGATGTTATCGCGAGATATATAATAGTGTCATCGAAACCCTGATATCAAAAGGGCAAGTGAGGGGGAGGGGGCACAAAAGTATAGCGGCGAGAATTAGAGGCACTCGCTCAGGCGACCAATTTTTCACGCACACACATGCAACACAACGACACGGGGCGAGCACCGCGGGTGCATACTGAGTTCCATGATCTCTAACCTCGGAGCCGATCTACCTTCTCCTCGATGGGCGTTTGGAAATATTTGAAATAATTTAGCGGCCGTGCACACACGGCGGCCACGGACGAAGAAACGAGGAACACTCATTAGCATACTAACGACTGTCCCTCGAATTCTCCGCGTAACATCGAGAGGGGGGCGCGAGTTCCTCTGCTCTCTCCTCTCTCTCTCTCCTATCTACCTTCTTCGCGTGCGACGGCGATAACCGTGGCCCCTTTTCCTCCACGCTCCGGATTTTTTCCTCTCTTCCATTTTTGGTACCGCGAGGAGCACGCGCGCGAACGTTCGCAAACACACGAAAGACTGAAAATATGATGTTACCTTGAGCGCGGACAGGAGCGGATCGATCATCGCGCGATAATCTTTTCGAAATCATAAAAATAAAAAATCTTACGATAATGTCAACGCGCATGCGTACAAAATAAATCTAAATAAAATTAAAATAAATTACATTAAATTGTGATTAGTAAAATAAATCTAAATGTCAATAGCTTTAAATTTTATTTCCTAAGAAATGAAAGTGACGCAGTTAATTGCGCCATAATCGGGAGAACTCGTGCGTTGCCGATGCGTCCCTGTTTCGTGAACCGTCTTCGTTTCTCGGATGGCGTCCGAATTCCACATTTGTCGTCCGGAACGCGTTCAAATAAAGGAGAGCCAGGTCGTTCGAAGGCCGAAGCGTAAAGCGGAGCCGAAGACAGGATCGCCAAAAGATGGTGAATCGTGACGCGTCGCATATGATGAATATTAACGCGAGCGACCTGGCCCGGCCTTTTACTCTTTCGTCTTTTCGTCTCGTTCCGCTTCAGGCAACTCCGGTGCATTAATTTGCAGAAGTTTGCTCTCTTGTTAAGAGGAACACGCGCGCGGGAGACGGCGAAGACCTAGATTCGGGTCAGGCGTCGCGTTTATTTATGATGCAAATGCCATTGTTTTTCGGGACCTCAACGGTCCGCAGATTATGCGCGGC